CATGCCTTAGGGAGCTATTCGTGTGATTTTCAAAAAAAAAATGTGAAAAGTGCTCAAAAAACTATTCTGCTACCTTAAATGCAAACACACAGTTGTATAGAATTTCTATACATCCAACTTGTTAAGTCCGCCCTCTATCGTTAATATTGATATGGAATTACTATAAGTTATGGATAGAGGGCGGTACACTATTATTACATTCATAGTAGTATCATAAATACATCATGTCATGGAGAGGTGAATTGTTGACATTGGAATACAACTGTAAGTACATGCCCGCCCAGTTACTCAATTACTGTATCAGCGATGAATTGAGACCGGAACCAGTACAATTATGTATACAATTTAAATATACTTAATTTCCACAAAATATTTAAATATTTCAGAACAAATTTGGGACAATCTGTTGCCTTGATTTCATACAACACCATCTTCAAAGATTACCAAGTGTTTCACAAAACAAAATAGTTGTCATTGTCAGGCGAACTTCCATAAAACAAATCAGGTTACCTCTGCTTTTTCTCCTTACAGGTGAAACCTATCAACATAAGTTAGGTTCACTTTTTACCAATGGATTTTATGAAATGATTCTTGGTCTATCACCGCTCATACCAATTTAGGGATTAGATCAATAAGGCACATATGCGCGCTAGTGGACTGTTTTTGTCAGAATTAAAAATAAATGAACGAAAAATTAAAACGTATATTTATGATAAACTTAAAACCGCACGCGCATAGATTTTTGAAAACAAATCGATCAGGAACAGTATCAGATTATAAACTATATTTGTTGTTAAATGAAACTAAATCACACATGTTTGGTAAAGGAAATCAAATGAAATACCCCAACACCATATTAAAAATAGAAATATAGCTACAATCATGCATTTGTATATTAGTAATGAATTACCCATACACCATATCGGTCCCAGTGATGACTCTATAGTCAGTTAGTACCATGAATATAAATTGCATTCATCGTATTAGACATAGAAGGTGACCAGTCTACGGTGATAAGACATACACGTGTGCGTCTCCAAGGCAGGTAGAGATAGCCGTTTTACATTGAAATCAGCTTACTAATACTCACCGGTGTACACCAGTGAACACGCCCACTTCTTGCGTCAAAAAAACAGTTTTCAAAGGGCGGTAGTCGTAGATATATGAGTCTCATATAAACAAAGATGGTGACTTTAACCTTTGCACAGATCAACGAGTACAAACTGAGACGTTACCAAGCTTTTATTATGTATTTTTAGGTGGTTGGAAGGTATCGAAGAGTCACTGGCGGTAATCAGGGCAAGTTGCTCCCAGGTCAAACTTCATACTTGTGATTTCCATTTGAAGAGCGCATTGAATTGTGGGAAAATCAATATTTATCAACACAAATGTCGCACATGCGCAGCACGACGACCACCGCCCTTTAAGTACTTGTATATTGGTAGGATCACCATGACGATGACGTTGATCGGTATAATTTGCCAAAACATCTAGCTCTGAGTGAATCATATAATGTAGTATACCAATGAACGAGGATGTACGGTGCACCGCACCACATTGGATACGTATTTAAACTACATTTTCGTTATGGTCACGACGCTGGCAAAATAGTATGAAAATAGAACGACAGTTCTTCGACTACGAATGGCGCCCTCATAGATTGTGTTCATCTGTCAAAACGAACGACACGCATTTTATTTAAAAAAATTGGCGTTGAATTTAATTCTACTATAATCAAATACATGTTTCCTTTTTTTGGTAATGCATATGAACAGAGAAGAAAGTGTCCGCCAGTATGTATGCTTGTACTTTACCGGGGTATTTTGAACATTTGCGTTTATCAACATTTGCACATAGCTCCGTAACTGGGCAATTAAACGCACCCATCCTCGTGCCCATATCCTTATCTGATAAATCCCTGTTACATTTTTTTTATATTTCTTTTTCAGATTAAATATATTATACAGAACGAAGAAAATAATGAGACATTACTGGTAAACACACACAAAATAAGTTCAGCTTGATTTTATATAATATTTGTATAATAACACATAAAAATAAAGATAATCAAATAACAAAATAGATAATCATTAATAATGTAATATAGTACGTCAATACATGACAATAGTAAAAAAAAAAAACATTTTAGTGGAAAAAGAATGCCACTAATTTTTCATGAAAGCATTCTACGGTGCAACTTCTTTCAGTAATATATTTTTCTAATTCTTGTATGCTACTAGTAATTACTCCTGCTTCTAAACTGGAGCGTTGTTTTTGCTTCCATGCATAACAAGATCTGCTTGGCAGTGAGAGTGGAGGCTCAACTGCCCCGAAATATAGAAGAATGCAGTTTACGTTAATATATCAACTTTTCATCAGTATTATGAAGTCCGCCATCTTGATTCTCCGGCAAAGGATTATGAGTAAAGTATGACATCATAGCTACTGTTGTGAAAAATTAAGGAAATGGTTTCTTACAAAGGATAACATTTTACCTGACAATTCCCCATTAACGAATGGCGCCCTCATAGTTTGTGTCCATCCGGTTAGTAGATCTCGTACATAGCAAGACCCGACACGTAACACGCAATCCCCAATCACGGTCATATGGGGTATGTTTCGCGGCGTTTTGGGTCCGGGAAGGTATTTTGCTTCGTCTGTCAATGATATATACATCGTCGGTATACAGTCGGACCCTAAGCGAAATCACGGCTATGTGGGCCCATGATGTACATCACCCGGTGCATGTCGAAATTTTAGTGTGGGATTAAAAATACATGTACCTTTTCATCTTCGTTTGTAATGCACGTAGGAGACCTATACAGAAGGGAGGGAGTGCCATACATTTTAATATGTTTTATCAGTGATGTATATCTTTAACGCCCCGGATTAATGCCCACAAATTACCCCGGGCAAAGTATGCATGCATGTTTTTTGAACATTTGTGTTTATCAACATTGGCACATAGCTCCGTAACTGGGCGATTGAACGCGCCGGTCCTCGTGTCAATACCCATATCTGATAAAAACAAATCCTTTATGTTACAGTTTTATCACTTTGACCGATTTTTTGGAGCAGTCCAAAGTAACCCCGG